ACGTAAGGCAAAACAAAAAAAATGAACATATTTACCTATTTCGGCCATAGACGGTCATATTGACCGCACTGAATTTTGCGGTATTTTTTTGTTAAATATCCCGCGGTTGATCGTGTTCTCTCTCAACTGTCAACAGAATGGTCCGTCCGGTCACCTCTGTAGCGGTGTTTGCTATATAATAATTTCTACATTAGTTGTTGATCAGAAATAAGCAAATAAAACCGGACTACAGTTATCTATAATTCTGATGCAGGGGAACAATCGGAGGTGGAAAGTGACAGCGACGTTTCCTGGGTGCAAGTTAACATTTCCTCCTCATCAGAGAGTGATTCAGAGTCAGAGTCCACATCAAGCAAAAAGAGACGGCTGCTATCATCAGACACGGCGGATCCAGATGTTCTGCCCTGTCCTGCGCTGTTTTGCTGCATGGGCTGTTCACTAGTTCTGCGAGTCCTATTATTATAGCCTTGACCGCGTCGCAAATCGTCACTATCTAACATTTTAGTCATAGTTTTTGTCATTCAAACCTAGTTTTTATTTAGTTATCGTCTCGTTTTCGTCTTTGAAAAAATGTGGTTGACAAAAATAATTATGAAAATTATTCATCAACACTGTTTTGAATCTAACGGTCAAAATGACCGTTTGTGGCCGTTCTAGTAGTTTTGGAATTCTGGCACTTCTAGTGTTAATGTCTAGTGACAAATCAGGGACAATGTATGATTAATTGAAATACATTTCTTGCATACAGCTCCTTTAACATGTTGGTGAGTTAATGTGGATGTGGGACAGCGGGCCCAAAAAAACTTTTCCATCCTGTGCCAGTGCCACGAAAGGCATTGACTTGTCACTCAAGATCTTTCAAGACTTTCCTTGAAGTATTTTTTTATCAATCGACAAATTTACCAAATGCCTTTTTTTTTTTTTTTTTGCAAAAAGCAACTTTTCATTTTAACATCATCTGATTTTCCACAGCAAGGTCATATATTCTTGCCATTTTACTCCTAAAGTGAAAGCTTCCATTTCCTCCAACCTCAAATGAGTGGTACATCAATATCAATTAATATTCAAGAGCAGACCATTAATATCCGCTGCGTATCGTTTCTCATTTAAACCACCTGGATGAGTGGAAGGATCCGTGAGGTGGTGCAGTCTGGGTGGCTTTATGAAAGTGAGGATGTCCTTGTGTGTTTTATCTTTACATGTTCACTGATAATCACTTGAAAGGCACTCAAACCTTGAGCTCTTGGATCATGTGAATAAATCTGAGGTAACAAACTTTTGTGAACAACATGGTTTAATCATGAATAACCAAATGTAATTACTATTTAGTTTTTTTTTTTTCTCTCTATAATTTAATTTTATACAATCAAAGTATTCAGAAATCACCTTTGCAATTACATATTCAGCCACTAGTCACAATCAGTGGAATACAATAATAACAAAGGCACATGGGAATGAAACAGTTGAGCAGTCCTAGTCATTCACTCCATTTTTTTTTCTTTTCTCCCTTACAATGCAGTCTCCCCAACATAACCTTATGCAGCAATTTCAATCATCCCATCAGTTAAGTCTTTTAGATCTGGGGTTTTAGGGCATTTCCAGTCACGTAAAATCTACTGGCAGCTTTGATGCAACCAACGCTATCTCACGTCCAATTTGTATATATTGTATGAGGTGGCTAACTCATACAAATATGTACGACCTCACTTGTCAAATTTGTATGATTTGTCTAAGCCCCTGTGACAGGTAGGTTTATGGCCGGGGTCAGGGGTAGGTCATTTGTATGAATTCATATGAATTGGGCAAATCATACAATACGTACGATTGAGCAAAAATGTTACAAATTCATATACGAGTAAGGTTGTACAAATTTTTACTAAATAGCCACCTTGCAAAATAAGGGTATCAATCTTTTTTTTTTTTTTTTTTTTTTTTTTTTTTTTTTTTTATTATTAGTATATTGGGTAACACTGGTTTATATCCAAGAAGGCATACTCGTTGTCCCACAAGTAAATTAGACCCCATCCACTCGTCCAATCAATATTTTGGAATTGAATATGTATGTTTTACCAACGAAACTTTGATTTTATTGTAATTGTAAGATGTTAATGTTTCGAATTAGAGATATTTAGCAGATATAATAATAAACAAAATGTTGTGCAACTTTTAAGAAGTATTGTTGTTTTCTATCTGCAACCATGTGCAATTATCCATTTAACCAAATTTCTACATATAGAATGATTGCTTGCTCATTCATGTTGGCCATGTTAAATCAATATTTGTTTTTAAACAGTCTTACAGGTATTTTTTTGTTTTGTTTTTTTTCTTCTGGTGGATACACAGACATCTTGGGCTTTCTGATACTCCGCAAACTCATATAAGTGTCAGAGCTCTTTTTTACTGAAGGAAGGAAGAAATAAAGAAACATCTGTCTTTTCATAATCCTGTGGTGTGATTCTTTCACATCTTTTCTGAAGATGATCATTCTCTGTAGTGGATCTATGAGCACATCTCTGGCCACTGCTGTGCAGTGATATTGTCAAGAGAGGATTAATCAAATACAAGTATAAATTAACACTTTATTAGCATTCACTTCTCTTGGTCTCATCAGCATGAACAAGATTAGCCTTTCTTTATCCTCAAGCACGTTTTTAATCATTATCTCACATAATTAATGTAGATTACACTTTTTTATGTTTTTTTTTTTTTTTTTTATTATTTCCCTTTTTCCCTCAAAAGATTAGCCTGGATGGCAGCCTGAACCCCACTCACATTTTTTTTATTTTTTTTTTTTATTTTTGGACGGGAAGTTCGGTCGTGACTCGATCCATTGAGGAGTAATTATGATCGGTTCAGAAATCGTCGGGCCAATCAAATTGCCAGGGCGGGCTTTAAACAATGATAGACAGATGATCTGCAGTTACATAATCATCACATTATCAAAGAGCGCTTGGTTTGAACTGGTTTCCCTCAAAGATGATTACAGCTGGAGAATTGAGATGTAAAGATTCTGCTATCACATCTGTTGCAAAAGAAATCAACAGCGCATTAGTATTAAGTTTTAGTAGAAGGTTTGATGGTGTATTGACACATTTTCGAAATTGTGTTCATTCAAACAACAACAAAAAGTCACATAGTGCACCTTTAAACATAAAAAGACATTTCGTGATTTTGTTTGTTTTGTTTTTATAAATATGGGACCATGGTGACACAGCTGTGCAACCTTGGGTATATTTAATAGAGCCCCTAATGTCAAGAATTATGAATTTAATGTGAATGTGAAGTACAGATGCTCAGTCTAAGAACAGATCACATTTTTTTTTTATAAAATTAAAGAAAATCAAACAGATTATTAGATCAATATATTGATTGTGTAGATGTTGAGAACAGCTGGTTGAAGTTCTGTGTAGTACACGTATCAAAACAGTGTATTTCTCTAATGTACTATCCAATAAGGTGTAAACTGGTAAATATAAAGGAAGGCATGTTGGAAAAATTGGCTAAATTAAATCCCCAAATTTGCATTCTTATAGGATTTAATGGACTGTTATATTTCCTATAGGGCGCTTGGAGAAAGGCAAGGGTGTCTGTTTAGTCCAAACACTGAAAAAAAGTAAGAGGACAGGCAATGAATTCATGAAGAGCTAGAAAGACAATAGAGGGTGGCAGAGAAAGGCGAGCACAGGCTTAAGGAAAAAAATAGAGAAGTTTACTTTCTGTCACACACATACACAAGCAAACAAAGCCAAGTTTGCTCTCCAAAGTCACCAAGGTCATGGACGATATGATAGCTGTGATGAATAATATAGTCATCGCACTGTGTGTTTGGGGCTGTGCAATAAAAACTGCCGAGATTTCAGTGACAGTTGTTTTTGGACCAAGTCATTTTTGGTGAATAAAGTCATGATCAGTTTCATACACATCGTTCACCGCCTGCATGAGACTCATACAAATTCAGCTCTTTCTCTAAGTCATAATCATGCATCAGGGTATAAGAAAGGCTTTCTGGTTACACAAGGTGTCCTTGTTTCATGTGCTTACCATAGGATTAGGGTTTGGTTTAGTTAATGACTTACAGTTATTACTAGTAGAAGACAACTGTAAAATAAATCATCAATGGCTCTCCATATTCCATATAGATATTTCCACTATAATAAAAAAAGGTCTTAGACCTTTGAATTCAGCTCTTGAAAAATGGGGGCAAAAACTAAAGTGTTGCGTTTATAATTTTGTTCAGTGTAGTTTATGTTTCTTTATGTTGATATTACTTGCAAAAAATGATTCCTTACATTTGAGGTTGTTGGTTGTTGTCTCTGTCCGGATAGTGTCATGTTTGAGACGCTTTCCATGTGCCATTGATTGGATTTTTCTTTGTCACAACAAGTTATGACTAATTTCAGTTAAGTGAGAACATGTGGAAAGGTTATTTTCAAATATGCCATTTTATTTTCAAAATTGTGTGCTGGATAAAACTTGTTGGCCAGAATAAAATGTGTTTCATGACATATTTTGTGATCTTGTGGTCAAGGACTTCATTAGGCAAATGCACTAAACGAATGATTAGTAATTCTATATGGGACAAATTTTTACCCAAGAGACTTGTATTAATTAATGTAAGTGTATTGTGCAAATATATCTATAATTTGGCATTGTTGTAAGTCTTTAAACACCCTGGAAACAATGAGCACCTGCTCTAATATTAACTCTGTTCAGAAACATAGTGAGTTGCCTTTTTGTCATTGTCAACATTGGCAGCTGTTCTCTACGGCGGCATCCTAACTGGAAATGAAAATTAACTTAAATTAAACTTATATGTATTTACCGGTACATATATAGCACTGAAAAAAAAAAAATATTATCATCATCATCTTACATTTTTTTAATATTTGAATTGAAATGTCTAGTAGAAGACCTTTCCTGATTGTATGAGGTAAATGTGGGCCACAAAAGTTTTGTTCTTGTTTCTCAAATCCTTATTCTTTCTTTTTATTTTTCTACAGGCTCAGAGATGGTAGAAGCCCAGTGTCAGCGGTTCGAGGTGAAAAGTAGTGATGGCGAGAGAGTTCTCTTCTCTGCTGATGAAGAGGAGATCAGTATTGGCACAGATAAATTGAGGGTCACAGGTATTGTATACACATACACAAAAACACTCACATATTCATCCAACATTCTCCCATGATCCATGTAAGAACATATAGACTAGTGTCTCGAACTACCTGTGTTATAGTTTATCCTTACATTTGGCCCATCAATCAGTCTATTATTAGAAAAGTTTGGTTGTGTGTATCTACACCAGAATTCTGAACGCTGAACCCTGTAGAACAAGCTCAATCCCATTATAAACAGTGCAGCTGTCTACAGCATTATGGCAACATGCTTTCAGTTGATAGATGCCCGTTTTTGATATGTAACAGCCTCTTTATTTTACCTGTCTGTCAACAACAAATATGATATGATGATAAAAAAAAAAAAAATATGTATATGACCAGATTGCGATGCCTTTAGTTCTCATAATTTAAGTAACTTTTGACCATTGCAGAGCCGTGTGTACGATAGGGAGAGTCACTTCAAATGTGCGAGAATGGTTTTATACAACAGTTGACATGTTTGCATGCAGCCAAATAATTGATTGATTATTCAATTGGATTGAACAAGTCTTCAAGTAAATCCAATCCAATTATGCTCGGTCAGAATTACATTTTGATCAGATTGTAGACTTAAAAATAATCTAATCAATAGAAGAATTTAAGTATGAAAACACTTGAATCCAACTATCTTCTCAATCTGATAAAAAAAAATGTGGTGTACACATTATTTAGTTCCTGAATGAATTTATGTAATAGTTAACCCTGGGTTATTCTAAACCATGTGCAAACTGACTCCTATTGCTCATAAATTACCCGGGGATAACAATTAATCCTGGGTATTCGTAAGCTACCATGTCACACTGTGCACTCCCAAACTCTGGGTTAACAAACATCCTTATTGGCATAGTTGCAGTGCCAGTGTCAACGACTGGACGAATGCAGCATGCAACCATAAATCATAAATCTTTTTTGATAATTTTCACAAAAATTCCATGGCCCCCAGAATTTTTTGTTGCATAAATATCTGAGCAGCATGCAATATATCAAAATAAAGAACAGAGCCAAAAAAGCTTTATTCTAGCTTTAAGCATTCCTTTTTTAATCAACACCTGACTGTGGTTGAATTTCATAAAATAAATAAATAAATAAAAATCAACATTCTGAGCAAAAAAGCTGAGAAAATATTTTTTTGTCAAAGACTGTATCTGGATCGGATTTAGGACAATGTTCTAAATCCATTTGCACCAGCCAAAGCTTCGCAGACCAATAGTTTGTACTAGGTTAAAATTTAATTTGGTAACGTTTGGCAGTTTTCATGTATATGATGTTGATGATTGATTGATTTTACATATGCATATGATTACATATGATATGGCTTGTTTCGGTTTCTTTTTGGCCTGTGTTTTGAGCGGTCTCATAAATTACGGAAATGTCCATGAAAGAGTTAATTACTGGGAAAGAGTAAATTACAAGCGTGAAATGTTCCTTTACCCGCGGATAAAAGCAGGTTTCAAAACAATGATAACCCAGGATTAAGCGCAGTGTGAAAAGCAGTGACTCACGACACTTACCTGCTGGTGTAATGATGTAACCTACAGAAAGAGTCAATCAAATTTGGAAGACTTCAGCTGCTGTGTACTTTTTTTCAGCACTGAATATTAGAAAATACATTTAAAATGTATTAACAAAACTTAAAACTTAATACAGCTTTTTATACAAGATTCACTTTTTGATTTTTTTTTTTTTTCTCAAGATTAAAATATTTGCATACACTGTATGTACTAGTAACCTGAAACTACATTGAAATGCAAATAGATTGTTTCAAATAGATTTCACTCGTGCAGGCCGCTCTTTCTCTTACTCAATTTTTTTTTTTTCTATTTCTGTCTGAGAGTGCATGCTGGGGGGTCAAGTGGATAGCTAGAGGTCGGGGACAAAGAGGGCACATGCTCAGTAATTGGGCAGATCTGTCCATTAACTCTTTTCACAAAAAGACATGGGTAGAGAGAGGGATCAAGGGAGAGAAATAGTGGTAGAGAGAGAGAGAGAGAGAGAGAGAGAGAGAGAGAGAGAGAGAGAGAGAGAGAGAGAGAGAGAGAGAGAGAGAGAGAGAGAGAGAGAGAGAGAGAGAGAGAGAGAGAGAGAAAGAGAGAGAGAGAATTTTTTTGAATTTTAACAATCCTTTATTACACAAATATGACAATCAAAAACATTCACAAAAAAGGTCACATATTTTCACAAAAAAAACTCACATCAACACTTCCGAAATAACCAGTTCATTATCAACTAATGAACACAGCACATTATTACAGCACCACTCAAGTTCAAAAATACTCAATGTACTCATTAGTTTGTAAAAATTAAACTCAATTACAAGTCGTGATTTTACCATTTTTTTGAAAGCTGGTATAAGTTCTTGTTCTCCTTTCTGTTCAATTGTATTTCTCCTAGTTATATAAATAGCTAATTTTGCAATACCAACAATAAAATTAAGCAATTGACATTTGTATTTTTTCTTAATAGTGTACATACAACCAAGTATAAAAACCTGCTTTGTAAAACACACCTCAAAAGATTCAAAAAGAAGCTCTAAAAGGCTAAACAAAAAAGAAAGTCTATTACAAAACATAAAACAGTGAAACACAGTCTCCCTTTCATTGCAAAAAGGACAATTCTCACTAACATTTGGGTTTAACATTGCCACAAAAGAATTAACTGCAATAGCCCCATGGAGTATCCTCCACTGAAGATCACCAACTCTTTTAGGTAAGGGAGGTTTGTACAGAATCCTCCACACTGGTTTTGTTGTTTCAGTAATCTCTAACGGGTCTCTCCATACAGTATCGCTTCTATTCTTTAACCATTTTAAATTCATCACTTTGACAAGACTTCTGTACAATGCTTTCCCTTTAGCTTCAAAAAAATCAATTTGTACATCAATTTCCTTTTTCATCCAGGGATTAATATTGTCAAATGAAACAAGATCAGGTACAATACTTAAATCTGGAAAAAAATCTTCACAGTCTGGAAATATACATTTCTTGTTGTACTCATCAAGTAAAGTTCTTTCTTGTACATTTAAAGCCCCCTGTAGTTTATCTAAAAAAAGTTTAACATATCGCTCAGATTTTACCTTTAAAAAGGCTGAAACTGCTTCTGCATCTTTAAATTCAGGACCTGCATTCTTAATAATGTGTTTTAACTGTAGAGATCCACTTCTGTACAATAAATATTTCAGACCCGGTATTTCATCCCCAGATACATCAAGACGTGCTCCACACACAATGGGCTCTTCCAATAACCAGTACAGCGACATTAATGGTTCCATCCATTGAGGTTTAAACAGACTCCATATTTTAAAAAGACTTCGATAAAAAGCAGGAATTCCTCTAAAATCGAATTTTTTAGAATCCATTAAAAACAACACATTGTCCAGGCCAAGTCCACTTATTCTGCGTAAAATGCACTGAGCCACTGGTCTCCACACCAGTCTTTCAGATCCCAGCATACACTTCTGCACAAACTGAAGACGATAAGCAGCACATCTACTAGCCAAATGCACTAGACCTTGGCCTCCATCTTCTTTCGCCAGGAACAAAACACTTTGCGGGATCCAGTGCAAATTGTCCCAAAAGAAGTTCACAATTTCTGCTTGAATTTTCGGTAAGAGACCGACAGGAGGATCGACGCATGCAAGTCTATGCCAGAGGGAAGAAGCCGCGAGATTGTTAATGATGAGTGTGCGTCCTTTAAAAGACAGCTGTGGAAGAAGCCATTTCCATTTTTTCAAACGTCCTATTACTTTATCTGCCATTCCTTCCCAGTTTTTCTGCATGAAGACTTCATTGCCTAAGAACACACCAAGATATTTTAACCCATCTTTTTGCCATAATAAGCCTCCTGGTAGAGTAGGGTTACCTCCTTCCCATTTTCCAATCAATAAAGCATCACTTTTCCCCCAATTTACAGTTGCTGAAGAAATCTCCTTAAAATCATTAACAACTTCTTTTAACATTTCAACATCATTACTATCATTTATAAAAACAATAACGTCATCAGCATACGCAGATAAATAAAAAGCATTATTACACTGTGGCAATGTTAGACCCTTTAACTTATTCCGTAACATAAAAAGCAATGGTTCTATAGCCAGCACATATAATAGCCCAGACATGGCACAGCCTTGTCTAACCCCTCTCTGTACAGTAAAGGGGGCACACAAACTACCATTAATTTTGATCACACTCTCAATTTCACAATACATTGTTCTGATCATATCAATAAAACTTGAATTGAACCCAAAAGCTTGCAAAGTATTCCACAAATACAGGTGTTCAACCCGATCAAAGGCCTTCTCTTGGTCCAAAGAAATAAGGCCAATATTTATACCAAACAACTTTGAAACTTCCAAAACATCTCTGATTAGAGTAATATTATCACAAATTGATCTGTTTGGTATACAATATGTTTGATCGTAGTGTATCACCTTCCCTATAATTTTACTCAATCTTGTAGCCAAAGTTTTAGACAGGATTTTGTACTCTGAGCACAAGAGAGATACAGGCCTCCAATTTTTTATATTTTGAAGATCACCTTTTTTGGGCAATAGAGTGATAACTGCCCTTCTGCAACTGAGAGGGAGGAACCCATTAATAAAACTTTCATCAAACACTAATAAGAGATCTTCTCTTAAAATGGGCCAGAAAGTTTTATAAAATTCAATGGGTAACCCGTCGATCCCGGGGGATTTCCCATTCGCCATACTCATCATTGCTGTGTAAAGTTCTTGCTCTGTCAAAGGTTTTTGCAAACTTTCATTGCTCTCTTCATCAAGCTTTGGCAGACCTTCAAAAAAACTACTAATATTCATCTTTTCACTAATCAAATCAGCTGTATATAATTTTTTATAAAACTGTACAGCAACTTCTCTTAACTCAGAAGCTTCAGTTAATTCCTGTCCTGTATCAGAGACCAAAGAATGAATTATTCTGCTTTGACTATTTCTTTTCTCCATACTGAAGAAAAATTTGGAAGGTGCATCCATTTGTGTGACATTCTGAAAACGTGAGCGAACCAGCGCTCCCTGTGCCTTAATGTCCAACATGTTTGCAAATAACGTTTTCTTTGATGCCAAAGCTTCCATATGTTCTTTTTTGCCTGTAGATTCAGACAAACTGTACAAATCAAGTATTTCAGTCTCTAAAATCTTCAATGATCTAGTTATTTCTTTTGTAACATTAAGAGTGTATTGCTGGCAAAAGTTTTTAATTTGTATTTTACCGCAATCCCACCATTGCTGTACAGAGCTATATAAGTGCTTTTGTTGTTTAAAAACATCCCAGAAAAAAGTAAAAGACTCTCTAAAATGTTTGTCATCGAGCAAAGACGTATTTAAATGCCAATAGGCACTTCTTGACTTCACATGGCTAACTAGGACAGAACAAAGAACCGCACTGTGGTCTGAAAAACCTACAGGATTAATTTGACAAGATTTAAAAATATTGAGCTGGTGCTTAAAACTATAAAACCGATCAAGACGTGCCAAAGACAAAGAATTATCTTTACAATGAACCCATGTGTATTGTCTTAATTGTTTATGCATACTTCTCCAAATATCACAAAAATCAAAAGTTTGAATGATTTGCTTGAGAACTCTTTGAGATGCAACATGTGGTTCTAAATGATTTCGATCCATTTTATCACTCTCGGTACAGTTAAAATCTCCACCTAAAACTAAAAAATCATCTGTATTTAGGCCTTTGAGAGTAGTGTTGATTAAATTTAAAAACAAAACTCTTTCCACTCCATTATTAGGAGCATAAATATTTAAAAAAACCATAACAGTTTTTTTCAAATTTAACAATAACTTTTAAAAAACGACCTTTTTCAATTTCAATAGATTCATAAGACACTGGAGTCATATTTTTACTAAATAAAATTGCAACACCTCCACTAATAGAGGATTTATGACTAAGAAAAAGTTGACCTCCCCACTCTCTTTTCCAATCCACCTCATTTTTTTGATCACTGTGCGTTTCTTGTATAAACATGACATCAACAGACTTCTGGTTAATAAATTCATACAACATCATCCTCTTACGAACTTCTCTAGCTCCATTTAAATTGAGAGTTCCGATTTTTAGCTGACTCATAGCTTTATTTAGATTCAACAAGAAACTAAGATGGGAAATAACAGAGAGTGTGCATAAGGTCAAAAAAAACAAGCCTAGAGATTTAAACCATGGCATTCTTGTCATCTCTACTAGGAATTTGTTTTTTTAACTTGTTTACAAACTTCCGTAAACGATACACTTCAAGATCTGAGAAAGCCCCTTCCTTTATCAGATATCTTGTGTCTTTCACAAATTGTGCACGATTAGGAAAATAATCCTCAATCTGCACACCTTTTAGCCCCTTCGTTTCCTGCAGAAAAACACTAATATCTTCAGCTTTGTACAGAACATTCCCTGCTTCATTTTGGGAACAGACATAAACCTCAGAACACACAGAAACATTAGAATCAGAATCATCATCATCATCCGAAGCATCTTCAGCAGCTTCACTTTTTTTGACCTGTTTACTGTTTTTATCATTTCGACTCTTTCTTCTTTTAATTGGAGTTTTGAATGTAGATTCAACTTCCATATCCAGTTCACAGTCATTCAATCTCAGATTGTCCTGTATAATCTCTCTGTTTTGTTCTACAAACGCTGATAATGTACTCAACCCCACCGCGTTCTCGGCCGCCAGAGACTCCACCACAACACCTTCATCATCAACAGGAGAAAACACCCGCACCTCCGCGCTGCTCGCTCCCTCCAGCGGCTCGATCACTGTACTCGCGGGAATCGCCGACACGCTACTCTCATCCACAGCGCTCCCCGCTTTAGCTGCATCAATCAGCTCTGTGCTTTTATTCACCTTATCAGGGCAATTGCGACTGAGATGCCCGATTTTCATACAACCAAAACATTTGATCGTCGTGTCAGATGATGCGAAAACAGTATAATCAAAGCCTTCTATTTTAAATTTAAAGACCAGGTCAAGTTCATCCTCACCATCCTTCAGAATCATAAACACCTGTCTCCTAAAAGACACAAGATGTTTTACTAGAGGAGATTTACATCCGAGTGGAATTTTTTTGATGGGGGAAACTATCTTTCCATGACGGGACAATTCTTGCACAATCATCTTATCTTTCACAAAAGGAGGAATGTTTGAAATCATTATTTTCTTGGCGGGAGTACTCAGAGGAAACACCGGCGTGAGTGAACCTTTGATTACAACACCTTTTTGCACTAATTCGTTCGCCTTCTCAATAGTACTAAAAAAAAGCACAAACGCACTATTCATTCGCGAAGCGGACACGATGTGTTCATGACCCACAACGTCCCCCGCAGCCAAACACACATCTTCCACGTTAACATTTGAATCAATCTTCACTCCATGACGCCGAGTTAAATTTTCAAAAGCCATCGTGTTTGGAGTCGCCATGCTTTCCAGCAAAATGCTGGAAGCAGACTATCCTCACAAAACAAAACAAAAACTCAACAACAACAAAGAAACACAAACATAAACACTTACAAAGAAAAAAGAAAAAGTTTGAAAAGAGCACTCTTACCAGCCACAATCGGCTACCACTCACATCCACACACTCCGCCCACTCACTCCCAGCATGCACTCGAGAGAGAGAGAGAGAGAGAGAGAGAGAGAGAGAGAGAGAGAGAGAGAGAGAGGGAGAGAGAGCATACACAGTGCATGCATAAATGGAATGTAGTGGTTCTTCAGAGGTGAGACTAAAAGGCTAAAACGTGTCAGAAAGAAGAACTACCCTATGGAGAGGATGTGAGCGGAGAGAGTAAAGTGTTAAAGGAATATTTCAATAAAAAAATGTAATTTCTGTCATCATGTACTTTTCATGTCATTCAAAATATTTCTTTTTTCTGTGGAGCACAAAAGTAATCTTGTAAACATTCTTCAAAACTCATTTTTTTGTCTTTCATCTATGAAAGAAAATAATATGTGTTTTAAAGGAGTAAATTAAAGTTTAAAACTGTTCTGAATGTGATTGTGGGGAAAATTAAGAGGAATCAAATAAACTAGGACAAACCGTAACAAACAAAGTATGGAGGAAGATCAGCTTCTTTTTATGTATTAGAACTCAAGGAACATGTGCATTTTTATGAAAAATTATGCTGTGCAATGGGGGACGTTTCAAATTTTACAGAAGTACAGATCAGGGGAACAGCGCTCAAGTCTACCACTTCACGGCTCTTGTAATTTATCACTTGATGTTTTATACCTCTGAGTATGAGGTACACTGCCAAGCCTGAGTTACTTTATTAGTGGTATAGGAAGGTATAACAGAGCATTAGGTTGTATAAAGATGTATGATAAGGCAGGTATATCAATTACACCATTGACCACGTTTGTTTGTTTGTTTGTGTGTGTGCGTGTGTGTGTTTGTGAGGCCCTGGTAAATGCTAAGTTATGGGGACAAAGATGTCAATATCCAAAATCTTTGTCCTTCTGGGGACAATTTTTGGTCCCCATTAGGTAAACAGCTTACAAGTTTTTTGATAATGTAAAAATGCAGAAAGTTTGCTGTGATAGTTAGGGTGTGTGTGTTTGTGTGTGATGTTGGTGTAACCCCTCTCAAATGACACGATTGTGAGATAATGTACATATAATTCATCCTTGCTGAATATAAGTATTAATTTATTGAAAATAAATATTACTGACTGGGTACTGAATGGTATTGCCGAATGCTCTTTTAAGTTCTTTGTTCATTTTAAAAGTTAAGTCTGCCTAGGAACTGATAGTTGTTGATTATGATTATAAAAATTCAGTTGTTCACAAAGTTGAATGACACTATATTTAAATGTTTTTTTTTTGTTTTTTTGTTTTCAACACAACTTTGTTCTAACCAAATGACTCTTCTCTTTATCTCTCTAGGCAACGAGGGAGTTGTGTTTAGTCATTCAGTGGAAACACCACACGTTCGAGCTGAACCATTCCAAGATCTGAAGTAAGGCATGCTTTCTTAATGTGTGACAATATAATTCAATGTGTGATTCACACTGAGAACCACAGAGGGGTGGGGGAGAGCTAGAAAATGAGAAAATGAAAGGGAACAAGACACAGAAGGAGAGAGGAAAGTCATAAAACATGAACTTAATGAATGTCCACTTCCTAATTGTCCATAGAAGCTTTATATCCTCAATATTCAGTGACAAACTGTCCCATTCACACTCTGTTATGAGAAAGAGGACGCGACCTGTCTGACACGCCCAATCCATCACCGGTGGATCAGCCAATCAGATTGATCTAATCTCTTCCGTCTGCATTAGTCAATATCTGATTGGATGTCCAATAGGTCACTAACACATCCCAAAGCGTCTCACTCGCCCAAACTCCAACATTATCACTACAGGAAATGATGTACTGCCATGATGGATGGAGTCACTTTAAGTGCAACTAGGCAGGTTACTGAGGGGAACTGAGAGCTTTTACCACCCAGTTTGGTTTGATGGAGCACTGCTGGGTGCTTTCCAATAGCAATATGAACTTGCTTAATGCAAATGCACCAGGATCACATCTTCTTCATCGTTGCAAATATTGGGGAAACGATTGGATTAATGGAGGGATGGTGACATCTTATACTAGATGTTCAGCTATCAGTTCCATTTCTTATTTTAATGGAAAACATTATCAGGATTTTACCCATTAAGGGGTCATGGTTTGAGTAGTTAGCATGATCCACTTAGCCCCTGCTGGTCCATGCTGTAACTATACGATTTTGTGTGTAAAATGTTTGCCATCTTTATCTATTTATAGCTGTGTATAAACTTTCTGAATTTATTATAAACCAGCGGCCTACTCTAGATGTCTTCTACATGCGAACAGTAGTTGTTTAATCAGACACAATGTTGTGTGAGGGGGAACAAAAAAAGTTTGCTTCATCTAAAGCTAATGTTATGCCAGTTCTACTAGCATCTAGAAGTTGTCACAGTTCTTTAAAGGATTTCGATTTAAGTCTCAGCTGATTCTGTTTCTCCGTGCAGTCCCACTTATTCAATGATTAACTTGGATCAGATTTAATCAATGTAATCCCAGACTTAATCAATTATTACGTGAGGTCTGTTGTCAGACTCCATATACATACCGTTAGCCTCATAGCACAAAGTCATTTTGTGTTTTTCCTTGTTTTCCAAAGACATTGAAATATGACTCAGACAATTATGCTATGCTAACGATACAGAAATCTCACTGGATTATTACAGTATTTGAAAAGGGAATATTTGGACATCTGAAATTGACTTCCTACTGCAATTAAAGCAAAAGCTAAGTAAGTCTTAAAGGTGACATATTAGGCCCCTTTTCGCAAGATGTATTATGAATCTATGATGCCGTGCCGTTTTTGTGGGTGTCCCTTTAAATGCAAATGAGCTGCTGCTCTCCGCCTCCGTTCAGAAAAGGCCGGCCCTTTTACACAAGCTTCAGATATTTAGGCAATAAACAAATGCAAATTTCAGTCAACTCTCAGGTCAAATGGTGTTCTGTTCAGCGACAAAACAGTTTGCTTGATTTGCTCGAAATTTTACCATTGCGTTTGAACTGGGTACACTGTTGTCGCTTGCGAAAACCAAATGGCGCTGCCGTGGTTGGAAACGTACAGATTAAGGGGTGGTAATATTATAATAACATCCTATTTATTCTATTTTAGAAAACAGTTATCTTGTCTATAGCCATGTTTCCATCCACTTGTCAATCGAATTATCTGAAGTTCGGTAAAAAAAAAAACACACATGCGAATAAAGCTGGTGAAAGTGTGTTTCCATCAAATGGCTTTAAAGCGAATAAAAACCTGTACGTAATGACGTCACATGCTGTTTTGCGATCAAATTGGTATATCGAATTGCTTTGAGACATTTTAAGATGTTTCCATTCATTTTCGCACTGAATCGAACAACATTCAAGCAAACTTTTACGTACAAAGTTTTGTTAGACAAAACGGATTGCGCCATCTACCAACAAATTCACAAGTTGAAGCCTAATAATGCTTATGTGCCGGCTGATAGCAACACATGTATGGGATAATGTATGCGAGGCGGTTGTTGAAGCGGTTAGAATTCAACCAAGCCACGTAAAAACAAGCAAAACTAACCTAAGAAAACAACGACGGTATAAACATTGCTATGATGATGCCGATGCACGTAAATGCCCGACGACAGCGGAGGTGACTATGGTGTGGGAACGAGTGCTCCATCAGTTCTGGGAGATCGTGGTTCACGGAAACCCTTTGGTTAAAGCATTTTTTTTTTGCTTTGTCCACTTACATCTGCCTTTTTTGACATACGCCATGTGTGCGCAAACAGACTGGCCGGAAATGAACTCGTCTTCTGGCGTGTTGCAACCATACAAGGGCATAAAACTTAATCGCAATTCATTATTTATTCGGAAAATAACGTTTCCATCAGCTTTTAATCGCATTAGCCGTATATTGATCAAGAGAAAATCCGATGAAACCGAACGTATTTCATTTGAGTCGATTTTCATGAAATTTCATCGAATTTTACTGTTTCCATAAGGCATTTTTCATTCGATATCACTTAATTTGGATAAAAAAGTGTTGATGGAAACATGGCTTATGTCTATGTCACAGTAGAAACAACAGCATATAAAGTATGACAATGATAATCTCAGATACTGATCATGTGGTTTAGTAAATGGTACAAAAAAAACAACTTTATAAAAAATAACCTTTATAGGCTTACTGAAAGCGGCAATTGATAATTCACCTCAGATTTGGAAAATAAATGAAAGGAAACAAGAACATTCAAACTTGTGAACAAACAAGTGTAATCTTTGAGGGTAATTAATATGGAGAAGAATGATATTTTGAAAGAGCAGCCAGAAGTCCTTATGAAGGATTTCAATTAACTATGTGAAACACTTGGAAGACTAAGATTTCAGTCATTTATTAGTAGACCACTCCTAACAAGAGGAACTAATATAGTTTTAGGGTTTCTTGGTCTAAACACATGGCTGCAGAAACATGCAACATGAGAGGACAGAACTTTATTGACCAACTTCAATCTTTTCTTGAGTCATGGACAACTGTTTAAACCAAACGGCCTACACCCACACAAAGAGTGCAAGAGTGCTAAAAGACAATATCTACGTCTCCCTCCATCATCCTTCAACAGTGTGTGCCACTGCACTCAATCAAAATGGCACACACTCAACTGGTGAGTGTTTAAAAGACTACAGGACTTCACATCAGCATCTGAATGTGAATGCGATTGACATATCCCACAAGGACAATGATAACACCAGGCAGGCACAACCACTGCTCACGGACACAATCTCAGCTGAGTGACTGCCCGTAAAGTTTACTTCAGAGACATTGTGACGAACGAGAACAGCTCCGAGATTCTGCACCCAAGGACAACCTCCTTAGAAAACAAAGTGAGGGAAACCAGGGAAACGGTTTCATCCTTTGATGACAGGAGTCCCACCCCCTTTCAGCAGACATGTTACCACTTCTGACTTTCTCAGGGAAAATGGTGTATGTGGTAACAAAGTTCTCCCACTCTATTGCTGCCATGATAACAGCAAAAATTCTCAAATTAAGTGAAGTGAAGGCCAAGTATGGCAACCCATATTGGAATTTGTTCTCTGCGTTTAACCCATCAAAGTTAGTGCACACATATTAGGAACAGTGAATATTGAACACATTGCAAACTGTGGATACACACCCGGAGGAGTGGGCAGCCGTTCGCTGCAGCACCTGGAGAGCGACTGGGGGTAAGGTGCCTTGCACCCAAGTAATTTTCTGCTAGAATTTAGAATCGAACCTGTGAACTTCGGGTTACAAGTACGACCCCCTTACCCATTAGGCCACAACTGCACCCAAATGTTCACAGAACAAACAGGAATCCAGTGTGCCTGTAGCTTTCTCTGTTCTGTTAAATGATAGAAAGTCTAAGGACTCCTCAAATCGCACAGCAATACCTGCTGCCTATTAAACGTCAATCAGCGATTCCTGTGGGGATACAAACTGATACCATTAAATTAGCAATTTTAAACATCTGCTCACTTAAAAATAAATCAGGTGGATGCAGAGCTGCTCTATTTAAAGATGTCTATCAATACACGAAAGTGTCATTTGGTGATTACTTGTCTTTCGAATATCTAAGTTTAATGTTAAAAGTTGCTCCACACATTTTTTTGTTCATTATTTACTGGCCTCCGAATTATTCTCTAGCCTTTTTTGACAATTTTACAGAATTGTTATCACCAATCTCCTTTGAGTTTGACTGCTGTGAATAATGACCCAGTAGCTGATTGTGACATGTTGTCACGATTTGGTCTTGTCTTGGTTAATCTTCTGTTCATTGTTCACAGGTGTCCCTTGTCTTGTCATTAGTCTATGTATTTAAGGCCTCATGTTTACCATGTGTATAGTATTGTTTTCTGTGACCACAGTTGCGGAAGTCCATTTCCACGGTTTTGTTTCATGCCACGTCATGATTTTGTTTCATCTTATGTTTTGATCCTGTTATAAACTGCATTTGGGTTCTCTCGCTACAACTTGGGGGACAAGTTTTGAGGCTGGGAAATTCTTAATAGACTTTTCAATTATTTCACTTCTGCAGTTGTCTTTAGTTGCATTTACTCATTTCCCAAAGTCATCGTAAATGTTGAATTGTCAATAGAACTGACAAATTTGACTCCTCAAATGTTTTTGTATTTAGTTTGAAGTCACCATTATGGTGATTAGTGTTGTCTTTGTTTGGGCACTTGGAACTTCATTTATATTATTGTAATTCTCTTCCTATTGATGCAGTGGTGCAACAACAAATCAGAGTTAATTGGTTTCAAAGGAAGGGAAATAATAAATTGGTTGCTTTTAAAAGTTGACCGAACTAAATCATTTACTAGTCAATTGTTCATGTCGAATAATGACATTTTAAAATATATATTTTTAACTCTTATATCACAATAACCTTGTGAAATTTTTAG